CCTCGTTCACCAGCATGTGGATGACGATGAACAGAACCATGCCGCAGATGAGCACGGCCGTGTGTGTCCCCGCTGCAATGAGCGCAAACTGCGCCTTGTCTTCGGACTCCAAGCTTGCACCGGCTTCAGGGCGAGCTCCCTACAGAAAAGGGCAGAGAGATGGGCAGTGGTCGCATGGGTAATGTATGTTGTATGAGAGAGTGTGTGTATGAGAGAGAGTGTGCGTGCATGACAGCGCGATCGAGTGGGAGTGCAAGCAATTACATAGGGGAATACACACATAATGATTACAGACAGGGAGACGGAGAGATGGAGGAGGAGAGACAGAGACAGGGAGACGGAGAGATGGAGGAGAGACAGAGACAGAGAGACAGAGAGACGGAGAGGCAAACACACACACACATATGCACACACACAGACACATACACACATGCACACACACAGACACAGACACAGACACACAGACACAGACACACAGACACAGACACACACACACACACACACACAGACGCACACGCACGCATGCGAGCGCCACGCAAGTACCTGCACGAGGTGACTTGGGTCCATGCCGATGGAGTCCCAAACGTTGAAGATGCCTCTGCGAAACCAAAGATACGTCAATCCGAACACAGACATGACCAGCAGAGCAAAGCTCCGCTGCTTCGGAGTGATGCCCAACATGCTTGAGTATGGCTGTCTCCTCTGTGTATGTGTTGAGGTGAGCTGCGAAATAATGTGTTCTGCCGCTGTGTGCTCCGCATGCACACACGCACGCCCGTGAGTGTGTTTGTGTGCTCCAAACACGGAACAAACACCAAGCGAGTGAGTGGCGTTGTATGCGGTGTTGGGAAAGGAAGGACAGCACTTCTTAAATGCCCACCAAATCATTCCAAAGTTTTAAAAAGAGACGACGGTGAGTGCTCGACGTCCTTCAGTTGTTCGCTCGCTTGTTGTGCGTTCGTTTAGTGGTGGACTTGTGCGGACTAATGCAAGTAAGTAAGGCGTGGAAGCATGCAGCACTGTCGCGCATGTGCATGTGCATGCGTCGATCAGCCGAGGGATGGGGTTGGTGGGACCTGGGAGGGCTTGTTGCACGTGCTCATGACATCGCGGGCATATGACCGCAAGTTTGCCACCACCTTACGGAAATGCATACCAGAACCCTGCAACGGCGGACAAGTCAAAGGAGGGCATTAGTTGTGGAGTGAGGGCGAGGGGGGATCAAGAAATACAGCCACATACCACACACGCACGCCGGGCCAGGCCAGGCCACGCAACCAGCTCCAGACAGACAAAACATCAGCAGAATGCAATGGCAGCCACGCACGCACGCGCGCACGCACACACGCACGCACACACACACACACACACAAACACACAGACACGGACACAGACACAGACACACCATGCACGCAGAACACGCACCTTGATGAGCATAAAGTCGACGATGGTTGTTCTGCCCTGCCGCTCCGTGGCGCGTATGCTGAAGATGACGTCACCCTTTGACTCCAAACCAACGTGCGGATCCGGGGTGGTCACCAGCAGCTAAGCACCATTGCAACATAAGCATGAGCGGTAGCGGGGCGCTCGCGCACTCCAAAACAGGAGGAAGGAGGAATGGCAGCAGCAACAGTGGTGGTGCTTAGGATCGTTCACACAAGGTACATCTTTCGTACACACACACACACACACACACACACACACATACATACACACGAACACATGTACACCCACCACATTGGCCTTGTGTGGAGAGCGACGAAATGACAGCTCTGATTTGCTAATCTTTGCATAGTCCTCAATCGCCATCTCAAACCTGAACAAGTCCATTTGAGCACGAGAGACAGTGAGCAAGCCACAGTCCCAAGTGACGGACACACACACACACACACACACACACACACACACACACACCACCCCACCCCCCCACCACCACACACACACACACCCCACACCACCACCACCTCCAGAATGCTTCCCCCCAAATCACACTCACAACACAAGCGCACCTTTCAAGGATGTCTCTGAATCGGAGGGAGGACTCGAACCAGAGTTTCCTCTGAGAGTTTGTGCGGCAGGAGCGACCCGCCTCGTCCTGCTCCTCATCCGCCCCGCCGACCGAGACTCCTGCTGTTGCTGTTGTTGTCGCTGTTGCATTCGTTGGCGCTGCCTCGCCTTGTTGCATTCTGTGCACGTGCACGCGTACACATGCGTGGTAGTGCGATGGGCGTTGGGGGTGAGCGAAAGGCGTGAGTAGGTGATGGACAAGTACACACACACACTCATGCTCACACCACATTGCCACACCGTGGTTCATTCACGCACTTTGGGCGTTTTGTGGGCTGCTGGCTGCGTTGTGTGTCGTCCATGTCCGGGTCACCAAAGGCGCTGCCACAGCAGAACCGACACAGGCACACCAAGCAGCGGGCACATAGGGAATGGGGCGAGGGATCAGGTGTGAGGCAACACTGACAGGTGCAACTCACCGACATCCATACGG